GGGCTTGGGGAAGGGGCTCTGAGGATTCCACTGGGGCTGGGGGTTTTTGGAGGCCACCAGGGCTTGGGGAAGGGCTCCACTGGGGATTGAGGAAGGGGCTTTTTGGATGCCCATGGGGCTTGGGGAAGGGGCTCTGAGGATGCCCATGGGACTCAGGGAAGGGGCTTCACCAGGACTTGGGGATGAAGGGCCACCACCACCCCATGGACCATAACAACCTGCCCCCAAGCAGCCAAAGCCAGGACTCACCTCTGGGGACATCCATGCTCCCAGGCAGCCCCTTGGTGCCCCCACACTGAGCCCCAGGCAGCCCCACTGCTGGGGCTGGATCCTGCCCTTACCTGCTGCCCCACCCTCATTAGTGAGCTCATTATCTCCATTCATCAGTCACTCGGGGAGATGAATGTTGCCTCTCAGCTGATCATGAAGCAGCAGAAAAGAGGGAGTGGGGGAAAACTGGGAATTCCAGCTAGAAAAAAGCCAGGCAGGGAAATAGGGATGGGGCGAAGAGAAGGTGGGGGTGGAAATAAGGCAGGAAAAGGCACAAATCGACAGGGAAAGTGGGTAAAGGGGAGGAGATAAAACAGAGAACAGGCAGATAAAAGTGTAGAGTCAGCTTGGACAAACAGGAAAGTCTGGATCCACAAGTGGATCCATCTGGATCCATCCCCTCTGATCGATATCCCTCCTTATCATGGCACGAGCTGCTCTCTCTTTTGCCAGCACCTTTGGGAATCTGAGGGGGTGTGTTGGTCCAGGGTGGGCACAGAGGAGGTGCTGCACACCCACATGGCACCTGTGCCCCCCACACACCCCCTGGCCATCTCCTTTTGCCCCCTCCCTGGCAGTGTTGAAGGGCAGGTTGGATGGGGCTTGGAGCAACCTGGGCTGGTGGGAGGTGTCCCTGCCCATGCAGGGGGGTTGGAATTAAATGACCTTGAAGGTCCCTTCCAACCCAAACCAGTCCATGATTCTATGATTCCAGATGCCCTCCCACCTCACCTGCCCCCCTGCAATGGCCTGTGGAGCCCCCAGAGCTCCTACCAACCCCAAGTCTCAACATCAGGTTTCCCTGGGGTCAAAGAGAAATGTTCTTATTCATCAGAAATGGGGAAGAAAACAAACAAATACATAAAATGCTGCTTTTTACCTTCTGCCTGGGATGTGTGGCCCTTTTCTCAGGAGGACAGAGGGGCAGGAAACCCTGGGCTGGCAGTGCCTGGTTCCAAGGAGCTCCTGGGAGCAAAGGGCAAGAAGCACTGCCAGGACCTTGAAGGTCCCTTCTGCCCTGTGTCCCTGTTGCCTCCCCAGCTGCTGCTTCCTCCTCCATCTCCAACCTGAGAGGCCCAAGAAGTGGGTTTGCTCCTTATCAGGCCCATTGAAACAACTAACCCTTGCTGGTTAATCTTTAACACCTGGGACTAACAACCTTCTCAGCTGGCTGTGGGAGGCTGGAGCCAGGGTGGTGGCTTCATTTGCATCTGTCACCTCCAAGAGGTGTGGCAAAATGTCACTGGTTGGATCCTGGAAGCCACAGAGAAAAGGTTTTGCAGTTTTCCATGGGAAAAGTTCCATTAGGAGCTGGAGCCACAGAGTCATGGAATGGTTTGGGTTGGAAGGGACCTGAAAGACCATCCAGATCCAACCCCCCTGCATGGGCAGGGACACCTCCCAGCAGCCCAGGCTGCTCCAAGCCCCATCCAACCTGCCCTTCAACACTGCCAGGGATGGGGCAGCCACAGCTTCCCTGGGCAACCTGGGCCAGGCTCTCACCACCCTCACAGCCAAGAATTTCCTGGTGGCTCTTGTCATGGGTGTGACCACAAAGACCAGGTCTCAATTAGCCTGATGTTGCTCCTCAGCTCAGGT